GTTGAACATAAAGAAAACAAAAATAATGACCACAGATGATCTACATAAATTCAACCTAAACAACAAGGAGATCAAAACAGTTAAAGATTTCCCCATACCTTGGATCAAACATTGATCAGAATGGAGACCACAGTCAAGAAATCAGAAGAAGACTAGGAATGGGAAGGGCAGCCATGAAAGAGCTAGACAAAATCCTAAAGTGTAAAGATAGACAACTGAACAAGAAAGTTAGAATAATCTAAGCCACAGTTAAGAAAGATGATAGGAAGAAAATCAATGCATTTGCTATGGGGCTGGAGAAGAGTGCTGAGGGTACCATAGACAGACGAAAAACAAAGGGGTCATTGAACAGATCAAGTCTGAAATTTCCATGGAAGCCACTAAATTGAGGCTGTTGTACTTTGGCCCCATCATGAGAATGCATGAATCACTGGAAAAGACAATAATGCTGGAAAGGTAGAAGGCAGCAGAAAGAGAGGAAGACCATACGCCAGATGGATGAATTCGATCAGGGAGGTCAGGGGCGTGAATTTACAGGACCTAGACCAGGGGTAGGCAACATTTCCCCTTTAAGGGCCGAGGGACATCAGCTCCCAGAATCCCAGGAGCTATTGGCTAACATGGGACTATTGGCCAACATGGCTGAGGCTTCTGGGAGCTGAAGTCCCTCGGCCCTTAAAGGGGAAAGGTTGCCTACCCCTGACCTAAACAGTGGAGAGGGGAGCTAGGATGGCATAGTGGTTTGAGTGTTGGACTATGACTCTGGAGACCAGGGTTTGATTCCCTGCTCAGCCATGGAAACCCACTGGGTGACCTTGAGTAAGTCACATGCTCTCAGCCTCAGGGCCCCTCTGAAGAAACTTGCCAAGAAAGCCCCATGATAGGTTCACCTTAGGGTCACCATAAGTGAGAAATGGCTTGAAGGCACACAACAACAAATACAATGCAGTGAAAGACACAAAGCAGTCTTGGAGATGTCTCATCCACAGGGTCACCATGAATGAGTCAGGGTCAAATGGAGGGCACTTAACAACAACAGCAGCAACAACAACAACAACAACAACAACAACAACCTAAAATCCAAGCCAGCATTTTGTAGTAATGTGAGTGTTGGAATGGGAGACCAGGGTTCAAATCCTTGCTCAGCTATGGAAACCTACTGGGTGACCTTGGGCAAATCACACACTCTCAGCTTCAGGGGAAGGCAAGGGCAATCCCTCTTTGAAAATATGTGCCTTGAAGGCACACAACAACAACAAACAGGCCTGTACAGACTGCCAGAAATAATCCAGCTTGAGGCCACTTTAACTGTCCTGGCTCAATGTTAGGGAATCATGGGAATTGTAGTGTTTTCTGAGATTGAGCCTTCTCTGTCAGAGAAAGCTCTGCTGCCACAGTAAACTACAGTTCCCATGATTCCCTAGCACCGAGCCAGGGCAGTTAAAGTGGTCTCAAGCCACATTATTTCTGGCAGTCTGTACAGGCCCTAACAGCATTCTGGAGTGAAAGTAGGAGACAGCTCACTGGTGTCAATAGGAGTGCGCTTCCTAATGCAAATAGCTGTCAAGAGGGATCTGAATCAACAGTAAAGCAGGGTCAAATATTTAAAGCCTCTGCTCCCACAATGCCATGGTCCTAATACAGACTGCCTTCCCTCTCAGCTGCTGTTTAGCAAATAAACATGTAAAGGCCAATAAAGGAATTAATATCACGTCTAGTTTAGCTCAGCATTCCATCTGAGAAATGAGGCATGCAAGGAAAAGAGTCCTATTCATTCATACTGAAAAGTTGGATTGACTCAGGTCCAAAACACACAGCAGGAATAATCCAGTTTGAGACCGCTTTAACTGCCCTGGCCCAGTGCTAGGGAATCCTGGGATTTGTAGTTTATTGTGGCACCAGAGAAGGCTAAATGTCTCACAAAACTACAGTTCCCAGAATTGCCTATCATTGATCCAGGGCAGTTAAAGTGGTTTCAAGCTGCATTATTTCTGCAGTGTGTTTTGGACCTCATTCTCAGTGATGCAGAAATGAATGGAATAGATTTATAACTAAATACATACAAATCTGAGGAAAAATAGAAATAAACTTATTATTTTTCCATCTCTATTGTAGTACGGTAAAATCTTCAACATGGCATGCAGATTCTGTTCAGCCATTGTAAGATCCCCGGAAGGGTATTCCAACTGAATTGGTGAATGGATAAATTGTCAATGAATTTCTGAAAGTATGAATTGAGGGACAAGGAAAGAAAAACTGAAAAGCATCTGCTTGCAAAAAGCAAACAAAGGAAGTGATTATGTCTCAAACTACCAAAAATTATATGCAATATTTATTCATAAAAACTCAACTCCTTACAGAAGAGCCAATGTAGTGTAGTGGTTTGAGCATTGGACTAAGACTCTGGAGACCAGGGTTCAAATCCCCACTTGGCCATGGAAACCCACTGGGTGATCTTGGGTGAGTCACACACTCTCAGCCTCAGAAGAAGGAAAGCAAAACCCACTCAAACAAAAATTGTCAAGAAAACCCCATGATGGGTTTGCCTTGGGGCCAGAAATAACTTGAAGGCACACCACAATGACAATAACAACAATTACTGTTTAGAAAATAACCAGATAAATGCTAATTAATATTATAACTAAATGAGTTTAAGTGCTCACACACTTGGTTTGACATTTCCTAATTAAATCTTTCTGGCTGCCCTTGGCTGAATTTCTCATATGTCAAGGCAGACAGAAATCTTCAGGGAAAATACTTGATTGATGAGTGTGCCTAAGGTTGCTGAGATGGGTAGTGACTGATGAGGTGTTTGTTTTAATATATTATATTATTATTTTTGTATTTTTATCATTTTATAGTCTTGTGTTTTATTGTCCGTTGAATATTTTAAAGCCATGGATGGTTGAATCCATGGATAAAAAATCCCTGAATACAAAGGGCTGAATATAGTTGGAAGAAGGAGCTGTCCAGTGAAATAGAATAAAGAGATTAATCTGGAAAGAAAAAGAAGATCTGTAGAGAGCAGGGAGGAGAAAGGAGCATAACCAGCTCCTGAAAAGATGGAAAATCACATATTGGTTTGAAATAACCAGTCACATTTTGGTCTGCAAGCCAAGATATACAGTACATAATGGCCTCTATAAATACTCTTGGGGAAAAGAAAGGAAGCTGTCAGGAATTTGTCTCCAAGTGGCTTTACTCAGAACAGAGGCTAATAGAGAAGGAGGCAAATTAACAAAGTCATCATCATCATCATCATCATCTTGTGCTTTATCATCTTTTTATTATATATGTTTGATGTTTCACCCTTTGGTGGAAAGGTTGTTATAAATATCATTAATAATAATAATAGAAAGAAAAGCAGCAAAATCCTAGGGTGGATCCTTTTAATATTGGGATAATACCTGACAGAGCAGGAGCTAAAGAAAGTTGGTTATTTTTAAAGTGATCTCTAGCTTCTGTCTGAATTAGTGTGTAAAATCATTGCCTCCTTTTCATCTCTATTGTCAAAATATATTTATTATCACTTTAATTGTTCTGTGTCACTTTCCCGCACAGAGATGTTTGTTTGTTTGTTAACTGTTGTTGTCCCTTGCCCTCAAGGGGAGAGACAGATAAGAAAATTGTTGTTGTTGTTGTTGTTGTTATTTCTCACCATGGATCGAGGCGGGGACAATAACAATGAACAAACAAACATCATCACATTGGTTAAAACACACATCAACTTAAAAGGACACATAAGTTGTGCACATATTAAAGCAATTCTTAAGCATAAATTAGCAAGAATCTTGTTTTGCCTGCTACACTATGGACCAAACCAGACAGGATGGTGGCAAATCTGACTGCAAATGTGAGTTTGCATTTGCCCAGTCCTGAACAGAAAGTGTGCTGGAGGGCCATTTTTTAAGAACAAAGGGTGTTTGTGGCCAAGGAGGGAAAACCCTGGCCCCACCTGAGGCTTCCCTCCCCATAGCCAGCCCTTCAGGCACTTTCCTTCCAGCTGCCTTTCTAGTGCGCTTCCTTTGAAGATATGCAGGCAGCAGGATATGGATTTCACAATGTTCAACAGAGCGGCCTCCAGCCCTTTGTGGTGGGAAAGAGGGGGGAAGCAAATTGTCTCTGGGGCTGCATCTACATTGCAGAAATGCTCCAGTTTGACACCGCTTTTACAGCCATGGCTCCATGCTATGCAATTCAGAGCTCTGCTCTGGTGCCGCAACAAATGACACTTCCCAGAATTCCATAGCATGGAGCCATGGCCATTAAAGTGGTGTCAAATTGGTTTATTTCTGCAAAGGGAGATGCAGCCTGGGTTAGCACATTATGCACATGGCAAGCTTAGAAGTCCCACTGCCTTCTTCATTAGGCAAAGGTGTTAAAAATCATACAGGAGAATTCATATTTTCTCTTGTATGATTTTTAAGACCTTGGCCTGGTGAAGAAGCCAGGAAAGCTTTGAAAGCTTGCAACATGTGTAATGTGCGTTTTGGTTGACCCAATAAAGGTATCACTGTCTTGTGGATTTTGGATGATGCTGTACTTAAGATACATTAGGCCTTGAGGACTGGTACCATTTCTGTTACATTCTGTGCCCCATATTTGAAACCTTTCCAGACTGAAAAGAGTTTGCACAGTGAGCTTTCTTCATCTTTCTGCATAAGCTCTATGAACACTATTGAACTAAATCTTATTTAGTGCCAGTGCGTTAACTGTTAGTCTGTAGAATCGGCATGTAGTAGAGAGATCTTGTAGCACCTTTGAGACTAAGGATTTTGAATTTGAATTGACATTCTCACATACCTTGGGCATATATATGTCTGTCCCTGGCTTCTACTTCACCAAAAGCATCTGAGGAAGTAGACTGAAGTCTACGAAAGCTCATGCTGCCAAGTTCTTTCTTTCAGTTAGTCTCAAAGCTGCTACAAGATCTCTCTACATACTAAGTCGAAATTGTGTTAGATTGATTAAGAAACTAAAAAACTTCAGAGAGCATATCCAACCTCTCAGCTATTGATTAAGTAGCTCTTTGGTCCTTGTTTGTGTGTGTGTGTGTTTTGTGCCTTCAATTTATTTTGAATTTATGACAGCCCTAAGGTGAACCTATCATGGGGTTTTCTTGGCAACATTTGTTCAGAGGGGCTTTGCCATGGCCTTCCCCTGAGGCTGAGAGTATGTGACTTGCTCAAGGTCACCCAGTGGATTTTATGGTGGAGCTGGGATTTGAACCCTGGTCTGCAGTCGCACTCCAGTGCTCAAACCACTATGACATACTGGCTCACATGGTCCCCATTTACTGTGTTTCATATCACAGTACTGTAATTTTGGCTTCTTGACACAGCTGACACACCTTCTACACTGCCCATGCAAATAAATGCTTTTGCATTTTAGTATTTGCTTTTAAAGGTTTTAAATAACTTAAAACTTGGTGAAATGAAGCTTTATTTTAATTAAAGATTTCATATCAGATAGTATGAGAAAGACAAAAGAGCACATAATAATGTATGATCATTTATGCACTAATTTATGAATTAGCATTAAAAGTTGTGAGTAGTACGTATAGTGATTATAGAAAACAAGATGGAAAATAATATTGAGTGTTGGTATAGTTCTACAGAGCAGGTATTGTGAGGTCCAAAATACATTGCAGAAATAATCCAGTTTGAGACCACTTTAACTGCCCTGGCTCAATGCTAGGGAATCCTGGGAACTATACAGAGAAGTAGACATTAGAGGGAGTGAATGCACCCAGTATGTGCACTGCTCATCCGTTCCACATTACACAGAAAAAGATTCAGGGCTGCATCCGAACTGCAGAAATAATGCAGTTTGACTCCACTTTAACTGTCAAGGCTCAATGCAATGGAATCCTGGGATTTGTAGCTTGTGACACCAGAGCTCTCTGACAGAGAAGGCTATATGTCTCACAAAACTACAGGTCCCAGAATTCCACAGCATTGAGCCAGACTGTAAGCCTGTGGGCAGGGGGCTGCCTAATTAACAATTTGTAAGCTGCTCTGAGAGCATTTTTAAAGAGTGCTGTAAATACAATAAAATAATAATAATAATAATAATAATAATAATAATAATAATAGTAATAATAATTTTATTTATAGCCCGCCTCTCCCTGTGTATCAAGGTGGGTTACAACAAATAGGAACAACAATAAAATGCAATATACAATTAAAACCAGATTTCTAAATAATCCCCTACCCCAACTCCCCTCCCAATCATAAAAAAGAAAAAGAAGCCAACTAAGGGCCTTTGCAGACTGCTAGAAATAGTGCAAATTGAGTCCACTTTAAGGGTTAGGGAATCATGGGAAGTGTATTTTATTGTGGCACCAGAGCTCTCTGACAGAGAAGGCTCAATGTCTCAGGGGGGAAAAACAATTCCCATGACTCCCTAGCACTAACCCTAACCCGTAAAGTGGACTCAAATTGCACTATTTCTGGCAGTCTGCAAAGGCCCTAAAACCAATAACAATATAAAATACTAATTAAAAGTGGAAGAAATAACAAATTAGCTAAAATTAGAGGTAGTTAGAGGCAAGACATTTATCTTTTTTGGGATAGACAGGGGATATCAATATCAGTGGAGCGGAGGCTAATAATAATATAATAGCCGTTAAAGCGGTGTCAAACTAGATTATTTCTGCAGTGTGGATGCAGGCCAGTTGTGGCGCAATGATCCCTCCAACGGCCTCCCTTTCAGTCATGGCTCTGCTACACACAATGAAGGCAATGGCAGATTTTCTTTTGCCACAATATTGACTCAAAGTGCAGCA